AATTTTTTAGCCCAATTAACATAGGCCGTTCATTTTGGAGTGCTACTTGGATCTCGGCCTTAGAAGGACTTTTTCATTTCCAATTTGTTTGGATGGCTTTATTATCATTAGATGAACAATGTTAAAAAGGAAAAAAATGATTTTGAATTTATAAAGGCTAAGATCTTAAAATTCACAAAATGAATGGTCTAGATTCGTTTTTGGAGGGGACTCATTTTGACCATATCTAGGGTCCAAATTGAACTTTGTTTTTTTTTTTTGGGGATTACTTATAGAAGATACTACAAAATGCCTATAGGCAAAAATGAAAAGTGATTTCGCCTACCTTCATCACCATCCAAACTTCATCGTACGGTCACAATTGTCCGATAGTGTTTCAATTTTCATTTTTCATTTTTTTTTTAACTATTTGGCATGATCTGAATTTTGGAGTGTGTGTACACCTTAGTGAAGCGCACTTAATAAAAATATAAAAAAAATAAGTCGCACAATATAAATTGACCAAAATACCCCCGAAAATTTACAGGGGTATTATGATCAATTTATATTTTGTGAATTATTTGTTTCATAGTTTTATTAAGTGCGCCTCACTAAGATGCATGCAAGCTCCAAATTTTAAGTAATTTGGATTTGTAGAAAAAAAAATGAAAATTGAAACACTACAAGACAACAGTGATCGTGCGATGAAATTTGGATGGTGATGAGGGTAGGTGAAATCACTGTTCATTTTCGCCTATGTTGGGAAGAATTTTCCTATATATATATATATATATATATGTATATATTAACCCTCTTAATTGGTGATTTTCAAATATCAAAAAGCAAAAATACCGTATGGGAGATAAAAATTCCAAGAAAAGAATTCAAGCATGTAATGAGCTAAGTACCAATCACAGTAAAAGATAAGCAAATACTAATAATTGAGAAGACACCTTTGCTGCTAGGGATTCCAAAAGCATTCCAATGGTCATTCTAGAAGGAAATGCATGTGGATTGATAATAAGATCTGGCCGCATTCCAGTAACTCCTGAAAATGGCATATCAATGTCAGGCCACAACTGAGAACAGACACCTTTTTGTCCATGCCTGCTACTGAATTTGTCACCAATGATTGGATTTCTAGGGCGCCGAAGTCGATATCTAGCCTGCATGAAAAATCTTTCAACAATTTAGTTCTCGCAAAATATTATAGTTCCATGTTAAGCTTATAAAGCAAGTTCATAGATATCAAATTTCACAGGGCAAATTCTTTATATATATAGTCAAAAACTTCAATGTGCTTCATATAAGCAGATCCACATCAATCAGGCACTTCTATACGACAAATAGTCATTTTCCACTATAAAGCTACATTAAATCTCAAAACACCAAAATAAATAGTGTTATTACAAATATATAAGCTCCTAGAAATATGTAAAAGGCAGGTCTGTTCCAATTCCATTTGAATACTCAACACATGGAGATTAACAGGAGAATAATATGCAATGACATGCAGTGTATGTTGTGCATCTATTAGGTCATTTAGCTATATTAATATGTAATCCGGGGTATTAATGCCATACCAAAGCCACAGCATTCACGTGGGTACAAAATGCATACATGTGAGAGTATATCTATGGTATCAGAAAGCTCCATGTATTGTGTTGCTGTTTTTTTCAAGAGAGAAGGTTAACTTGTATTAAAAGACAAAGAAATTACAAATACACAGTTCTGCAGTCACCCACAGGCAGGGACTCAGTAAAAAATCAAGAGGTCAGGTTTGTACAAGGATGTTACAACAATATACGGCAGCTTAGAAAAGCAGTGACGTCAAATAAAGGCAAAAATAAGGGCTTATAGAGCCGCCCTTTTACAGTGATTGACAATAAGCTTTCAAAAAGTAAGCTCTTGTGCAAAGAAAGATCTAAAGGCTAAGCAAACTGTCAGGCTGCCCCCAGTCTTACGTCAAAAAGAGGGCGACCCTATCTTCTAGCTCCTTTCGCCAGCCGATCTGCGTACTCGTTGGACGTCCTCCAGATATGCATCCAAGAGACGTCCACACCCCTGCAAATGTACTGAATCTCGTCAAAGATAGGAATAAGGTGCCAAGGTGGGGGGGTAGAACCGCTAGCCCAGGAGATCATGTTATTGGAATACCCTGCGATTATGAGGTGAGAGCCCCATGAAGGGTTAAAATGTTTCAGCGCAATTAATAAAGCCAAACTCTCGGCTTGAGTGGAGCCCTTGGTGCCTATGTATTCTGAACATTTGAGGAGGGTAGAACTTGCATGGCCTCTATAGATTCCTCCTGCCCTCGCTGGGCCCAGGCTGCCTAAGGAACACCCATCAAAATTCAACTTGATTGTTCCTTGAGGAGGGGGCTGCCAATTATTGGGCCTTGTGACAGATTGCGGTCAAAGGTGAAGGAGGTTGAGCCATTGGAGGAAAAAACTCCCTGGAATGCCCACGAAAATCTTGTGGTTAGAGGCCCTACAGATGACCGAGGATATAGCTCATTGGAAGATGGCCGGAGGTTGGAGTTTGCTTCCACGAAAATTCTAGAGTTTCTCTCGAGCCAAATGGACCAGATGATTGCTGCTTCCACTGCCCTCCGCAGGATTCTCCCTACTTTGGGCCATCCTGAATCCAGGTCATATGAAAAAAAGGTCATTGACCGAAGGTGGGGTAGCCCAACTAATACTAAATAAATTCGGTACTGAACCCCAAAGCTCGAAGGAAAATTCACAGAGGATGAAGAGATGGAGGTTGGTTTCCTCTTCAATTTCGCAAAGAATGCAACTGTTGGGGAGTTGGAGTTTGTCCATCGTGAGGGCTTTATGAGAAAAAGCCAGCCAATTAAACGTTTGAACCTTAGGTGAAGCTATGGAATTCCACACTTTTAAGAGTGCTGAAGACCCGAGGGCATTGGTTGAGTTGCTAAACTCTTATAGAAAGAGGAAACCGAAAAGTTTCCCGAAGGTAGGTGTGTCCAAGCTATAGCATCTCTACCTTGGTGCAAGAAGAACCGAGAATGAAGAGTAGAGGCTAGGACCTGGAACTTCCTAATCTTTTCATCGGTTAAATTCCTTCGAAAGGAGGGGCTCCAGACTCTTCGGTCGCCGGAATCGACCACTTCTTCCGCTATAGTAGAGTTGGCATTACGAGTAAAGGAGAAAAGAGAACGGAAAGTCTGACTGAGGGGGGTGGTTCCCAACCACAGATCAGTTCAAAACTTGATTCTTGATCCATCTCTAGGGATGAACCTGATAGACCTATTAAAAAGGAACGCCTTAGAGAAAGATTTCCATGCACTAGAAACATTATGTCGCTGGGTCCTTTGAGGTAGCCAATCTTCTTCAGCGACTTGGCATTTGTGCTTGAGGACCCAAGCCCAAACGGCACTCGAATGGTTAGATGCCACCACCATTTCCCTAGGAGGGCAACATTGTGCAATCGAAGGTTTTGGATGCCAAGACCACCCTGTGTACTGGGACGGCAAACCAAGTCCTAGGATACGAGGTTGTATTTCTTCTTTTCCCCTTGTCCCGACCAAAAGAAATTCCTCAAGAGTTGGTTAAGACGATTGGCCACTGAGGAAGGCATGTGAAAGATGGACATGAGGTAGATTGGCGAGTTCGCGAGAGTGGCTTTTATCAAAGTAGATCTACCTGCCATGGAAAGGAAGCGACCCTGCTACCATGCCAAACGTCTATCTACCTTGTCTATTACAGTCGACCAATGTCTTTTCTTCGGTTTGCCCGGGCCTAGGAGTAAACCTAGGTAGGTGGTAGGGAGGTCCTCCACCTGGCATCTCCAGCTAGGCACAAAGGCGCGGACTTGAGTAGAGGTCAAATCGACACCCAACAGTCTTGATTTGTGCATGTTTACTTGAACCCCGTTGCCTTCTAGAAGCAATGGAGGAACAATTCAGAGTGTCGACTTCTCTGGCAGAGGCATCCAAGAAGACAAGGGTGTCATCCGCGTACTTTAGATGGGAGATAGTTGGACCATGTCTGCTGGTCTTGAATCATGTAAGCAAGCCCGTCTAGTAGATTTTGAAGATGGATCGACTAAAGACTTCAGCCGCTATTGCGAAGAGGAAGGGTGAGAGGGGGTCCCCTTGACGGAGTTCCCTTGAGGAGGGAAAGAAACCTTTGGGTGTGTCGTTAATGCGGATTGAGAAATGTGGATGGGAGTAGCAACCTCTCATCCACTTTCTCCATCTATCCTCCAAGCCCATTCTGGCCATGGTCTCGTCTAAAATCACCCAGTCGAAATGATCGTAGGCCTTCTCCCAGTCGATTTTGAAGATGAGACCAGGTATCTGAGAGAGGTGTTTGGAATGAATGCACTCGTGGGCGACTAATGCCCCATCTAGAATTTGTCTGTCCTGACAAAAGTAGTTTGGGAGGAGGAGATCACCCTGAGCAGTACGAGTTGAAGTCTAGAGGCTAAGGTTTTGACCAGGAGCTTGTAAGAGCAGTTGAGAAGGCTAATAGGTCTGCAATATTGAATTTCCTCGGCTCCTTCTATCTTAGGGACCAAAGCCAAGAAAGTGGCGTTCAAGGCTTTGTGGAGAGTTCCTCTTTGGAAGAACTCTTCAAAGAAGAGAAGGAAGTCCGGACGGATGATCTCCCAAAAGGCCTTAAGGGACCAAAGCCAAGAAAGTGGCGTTCAAGGCTTTGTGGAGAGTTCCTCTTTGGAAGAACTCTTCAAAGAAGAGAAGGAAGTCTGGACTGATGATCTCCCAGAAGGCCTTAAGGGGGGCAATCTAAAATCCGTCAGGACCCAGAGCCTTGTCTTTGGGTAAAGCATTGAGTGCTTGGATTATTTCATCCTCTAAAAAGGGTCGTTCTAACCACGAGGCTAGGTCAGCAGGGAGGGTTAGGAAGTTTAGGGAGGTCATTCTAGGTCTCGGCCCTTGAGGGGCAGAGTAGAGGGATTGGTAGAATGAGAGTAAGGCGTGCTCAATTTCTCCTCGTTGGGTAAGGTAAGAGTTGTGTTTAACCAAAGAGATTGAGTTGACTCTTCTTCGGCAATAGGCAATCTTATGGAAATAGGCTGTATTGTGTTGTTGCTCAACAAGAATGTGAGATATTTCCACAACTGCAGCATCATCCAGGTATCCACACTTATAAGACAATCATGATACCTAAGGTCCGATTAGAGTTAAACATTCTAAACCCAAACTCCACGTCTCTCCAGAAAATCCCTTGGGCTTAATGTCCCCTCTTTTTGGACCATTTTTGATGTAGGAAATTCAAAGGACAGGAAATCAGCAATAATTCAGACCAAGCACAAGCAACAAATCAAACCAACTAGGGCTTCAAAAGCCCAAGCTTTTTTGTCTTTTTCCAATCTGAAAATCACATGGAATTGAAAGGTGGCTATGTGGAACTCAAGAAAGTAAATTTAAAAACTTTTCTTTTCTTTTATTCAATATGCCTGAATTCTACTTACATGGGCCATTATACACTGCTGTAAATCAAAATTGAAATCCTAAATACAACCTAAGATCTTTACTTTTACTCCCAAAACAAATAATCACCATCCAGGAGCAATAACCAATCTTCTACTATTTTTAAGTACAAAATATGCTCCTGGAAATTCACAAAAAAGTATAAAATATGACTGGTAAGACTTACTAGAGGATGCTTGGATTCACCTTCACAAGGCATGATACACCCTCACCCGATTCCCTGACCGATGGCGCACTTTTAATCCCTTAGATCTTGCTGGAATTTCTGAGATACGGAGGCTTTTCAAGCAATACCTTTCAATCTCAGGCTTTACAGAGCATAGGAACCTATTTAGGGTTTGTAGGAACCTGATAGGATCAAATTAGGGCTAGGCTTGAGCAGTGTTTTAAAATGTCGGATGCGGCCAAAGCGGTGGGGGGGCTGATGCGGCTCGATGCGGTCTAGATGCTGGTGCATCGAGGCGATGCGGTCAATAAATATAAAATAATTATAAAAAATCTAAAAAAATATGGTAATGCATAGAGAAAATATGGAGGTGATATATATGATAGTAGGTATTTAGTTTATTCATTAACTTCAGAAGTATTAGCTGTCAGACATTCTGTATCCACTATCCCTTGATAGAAACTAGAAACTAGCTTCATAAAACATTCAACAATCAACAACCATAAGCACAAATCTGCAAC